AGAGGCTCAGTATTGGGAACTTTTGTGCGTGGTTGTTGTAACGACCAAGCTCCTCATGGATCCGGATCATTAAACGGGTCCTTGCCCGTCTCATAAACCTCCGAGGGTAATACGGTCATTTCACGTTAAATTTAAATATCAAGGTCCAAAAAGGACAAAATGGTAATTTGCCATAATTCAATAAATTGAGACTCTGAGGGTAAAATGGCCATTTACTTGCATCACTTAATAATTAAAATAAGATCCGGGGTAAAATAGTCTTTTCGGTGGTCAAAACATAATTATTGCATTTGTTTGGATCATAAAATAATTACGTGTAACCTCACTTGGGTACCAAAGTGTAATTTAACAATTTAAAATAGCAATTACATACAAAACAGAAACCGGTCGAGGTATATGCTTCATACGTCGACTGGTTTGGGACGTGAACAGTAATGATACCCACTGCCGAGATACCGATCGACGTGTGGGATGTACACGTGTACAGTGACAAACTCTCTGCCAGGATACACGTCGACTGGTTTCGGGTTAAATACACTTAGTTACTTACTGTCCAACGAAAACCAATATACATCTACACTCAATAACCAACCACTAACGCCACTACTCTCACGTACCAATTTATATACATTTCAAAACCTAATGCAACACCAACCACCACGTTGTTAACGTAATTTGCTCGCACGTTACTTAAAATACACACAAACTGATTTTGAGTGAGTAAAACTTAATTTCATTATCCAAGGGCCATACATAAAATGAATCCAATCATTTGACTTGTTGCAAAAATAATACCTATTGATAACAAAAAATTTATAGGATACATAACACGTTCCAATATATCATTTAAAGACCAAATTACATAAGTCTCATTTTATTCAAATTTTAAAGGAATTAAATACAAGAGTAAGGCCTCTATGGCCAAAATTTACATAGTCTTGGTATAAATAAAAGTGAAGTCCTATCTACAGTGATATCCATGGATGTATATTATTCACCGGCTCATCTTCAATCCCTGAAAAATGATAATAAGTAGAGGAGTGAGCACAAAGCTCAGTAGAGAATGCCTAAGTGGCATCTCCTCAAGCAAGGTAAATAATTACATGTTTTACAACAATGAATAGAAACAAGAGCATGGGATCATGCAAGGGATTCACATACCACAATACCATTTTCCATAACCATCATGCTTTTATAATACAATTTTACATTTCTAAGGCCTCAATGGAATAATTTAATAATCTTGAGCATGCTTCATTATTCAAATGTTCTCTAGCATATAAATATAACCAAGAATATCACAACAACCATATGAGGAAAAATATATAAAGCATCACAGAACAACTCAACAACATGTCAATTGCAATTTAAACATAAGATAAGCATCTCATCACTTAAAACACGTCCATTCACAAACTCATACATATACCAAAACTCTAAAATTTAATCATGCATTTTAGCATTTAAATTGACATGTTAAAGAGGGGGAAAAACATCCAATTAACTACCAAAACTAAGGAATTTGACAATTAGACAAACTCTACCTCAAGATAGGAACTCAAGCTCCAAGCTCCAAACTCAAATCCCACTAAAAGCTTGCAATACCCGTACCAAAATGTAGCCCTTGCAATGCTCTACAATTTGCTAATTCCTACTTAACCCAAATCTTCATCTAGCATGAAGAAATTTTAGAGAGAAGGAAGAGAGATATAGAGAGAGAAAGAAGAAAATAGAGGAAGAGAGCTTGTGGGTTGGTCCGAAAATGAGGGAAAGAAGGAAAGAAATGGACCAAATGGAGACACATCATTGTCTCTAGAATTCTCTAGGTGGATCAAGAGTCAAAATGACAATAATGCCCCTTAATCTTCTTCATATTACCAACCATGCCATAAAATATCCTCCTCCAATCAATACCACTAATACAACATACATACATGTATAAATATACACATACACATATGAAATGCCGAAAACGCCCCTTACTTAAGGTGAGAAAACCGGGAGAAGTTCCCGAGTCCGGAAATCGTGCCGACCTCCAAAAATTCTAAAAATGACACCGTTGCTTCTAATTGACTTAAAATGATTAAAAATACACTTCTAAAACCCTTGGCTCAACAATTGACCAAAATGCCCCTCAGGGCCCGCGTGGCATGCAAAACGAGGCAAGGATTAAAATAATCCAAAGAAATCAAAAAAATTCTAGAAAAAAAAAATAGGAAAAATCGGTAACGTTACAGTTGTAGTGATTCTTCCGCTGTTTCAGATACAATAATGTTTGGCACTATATGACTAGGATTCTCTTCATTGTTTTCATTGGTTTTATCACATTGTTCCTGACTTTGAATTTCGGGAATAATAGTAAGATGAGGTGAAGGAGTCAAAATCACATTTGGTAAAGGAGTAGGAGATAAATCCCAAAAAATTTCTTCCATCACCTCATTCTCCCCCTGAAGAGAATTTTTGGGAAAGTAGAATTTATTTTCAAAGAAAGAAACATCGATACTTACATAAAATTTTCTTGTTTGGGGATTATAGCACTTATATCCCTTTTGATTAGAAGCATACCCTATGAAAACACATTTTTCAGCTCGAGGATCAAGTTTGGACTAAGTATTATTGGGTATATGAACAAAAGCTATGCAGCCAAAAACCTTTAGAGGTAAATCCGAGTATGTCCTTGATAATGGAAAAGTTCTTTTGAAACATTCTAATGGCGTGCTATATTTTAAAACACGTGAAAGCATTCTATTAATCAAATACGAAGCTGTTAAAATAGCTTCCCCCCAAAGATATTTTGGAATATTCATTGAAAACATTATAGCACGAGCCACTTCAAGTAAATGTTTATTTTTTCTTTCAGCAATTCCATTTTGTTGAGGGGTATCCACACACATAGACCGATGATGAATACCCTTTTCTTTCAAAAAAAACTCCCCAAAATTTCATTAAAATACTCGGTTCCATTATCGGTGTGAAAAATACTAATTTTTGCTTGAAACTGAGTTTCAACCATTGTGTAAAAATCCTTAAAAAAATTTCCAACCTCAGACTTTTCATTCATCAAATAAACCCAACATAAACGAGTATAATCATCTATAAAAGTAACAAACCATTTTTTCCTAGAGATAGTAGTGACTCTTGAAGGTCCCCAAACATCACTATGTATTAAATAAAATGGTTTTGAAGAAGTATAAGGTTTTGGCAAATAAGTAGTACGATGACTCTTAGATAAGCAACAACTTTCACAATAGAATGATGAACAATCCAAACATTTAAATAAAGTAGGAAACAAATGTTTAAGCTATGGAAAGCTAGGATGTCCTAGTCTTAAATGCCCAAACATTATTTGTTCATAAACAGAGTTAGAACTAACACTGCTAAGGCCCTGAGCCTTTTTATTACTGGAGAAATCCCTATCAAAGTAGTAAAGTCCATCTTTTATCTTAGCACTGCCAATCTTCTTCCTCGAGCTCCGGTCTTGAAATTCACAGTAAGAATCACAGAAAATTATACGACAATTAGATTCTTTGGTTAGTTTACTCACAGAAAAAAGGTTACAGGCTAGTTTAGGGACATGGAGAACATTTTTAAGATTTATATTCTCAGATAATTTTATCAAACCTTTTCCTGCAATAGGTGAGAAACTACCATCTGCAATTCTAATTTTTTCAAGACCAGAACATGGTGAGTAAGTGCTAAAAAGATTGGAAAGGCTGGTCAAAGTGCTAAAAAGATTGGAAAGGCTGGTCATATGATCAGAGGCTCCAGAATCGATGATCTATGGAGTATAATTTAAACAACAAGAAAGGGCATTAAGTGCACTACCTGTTTGTGCAAGAGAAACATTAGGAATACCAGATGAGGAATTAAATTTCAGCAGCTTCCGAAGGTGATCCATTTGCTCCTTGCTTAAGGGACTTATCTCAGCTTCATTGGCAGTAGGAACCGCACGCCTATTTCTGTCACCAGGCTTGCTACTCTTCCAATTCGCTGGTTTTCCGTGGATTTTCCAGCAGTTCTCTCAAGTATGGCGTGGTTGTTGCAGAAGTCGCACCAAACCCGTGGCTTTTCTTCAGGTTTTCGTTAAAAATTGACTGCTTTATTAGCAGCAGTCTCGGCAATAATAAGGGCAGAACTTTCAACAGGTCCGCTGGTAGTCTTCTTCCCCAACATTACATATCTGCGGCTCTCTTCTCTTCGAACCTCAGCAAACACTTCACCAATTGGAAAAAGTGGAGTCCTGCCAATGATCCGTCCTCATACTTCATCAAATTCCACGTTGAGCCCCGCAAGAAATTTGTAAATACGATGAGCCTCCACGGTCCATTTGTAGTGATTGGCATCTTCAGTGGATTTCCATTCATAATCATTGAATAGATCTATGTCCTGCCAAATGCGCTTTAATGAATTGAAATACTTGGTGATCAAGTCTTCTCCCTGCCGAATCTCACCAAGTTTTAGAGTCAATTCGTAGATCTGAGACTGATTTCCCAAATCAGAGTACATCTGATTCACGTTGTCCCAGAGCTCCTTAGCCGTGGAGTAGCACATATAGTTGGAGCTAATATCCTCGTCCATGGAGTTCATAAGCCAAGTCATCACCATTGAATTTTCTGCATCCTAGGTCACGTACGTTGGGTCCTCTGATGCTAGTGCCTTCTTGTCTCCCGTCTAGTACCCGATCTTTCCCTACCCTCTGATGTACATCCAAACAGACTGGGACCACCGTAAATAATTGTCACCATTAAGGCGAATATTGGTGATCTGAACCGAGTGAGAATCGGTACTGGGGGCTTGGGTTGTCGGATTTGTTGACTAGGTTGTGATAGGCGATGATGACATAAAGGAACCGTCAGACATGGCTGATCAGTGAAGAAATTGTGCAGAAAAGGAATTAGGGTTTTTTTTTTTTGCCTTAGGGTGGCTCTGATACCATATAAACTATAAAGGAAAGAAAAATAAAAAAACCTTTTTCTCTATATTAGCACACAATTCACGAGTTTACACAGGTTCTCTTTATAGGAGAGAATACACGTACATACCTAGCTGGCCTAATTAATAATTTCCTATTTTACAGCATTTGACCAATATTCTATTTACAAAAAAATATTCTCCAAATATTATATTTACAGATAATAATATTTGGTAGTATTACTACCAAATCTTTCCTTTTGCAACAAATTCATACAGTAACATTTGTAATTTACTGATAAAAACAAACATTTACAAAAAAGCTAGTTCTCTGGTATAATTTGTCTCCAACTTAACAAACAAGTTTATAGTATAATACTAGTCTCCCAGTCCTCCTTGGCTATAAATAAGATATATAAATCAATTCGAAATAAACTTGTAAATTATCTGTAAACTCTGAATAAAATTCTGGCAGTTGCTGGTGTTAAATGGATATGAGATGAGGGAATAGTATGGCACACATTCAAAAAATAGGCCCAATGATCAACTCAATTGCGTTAGCGCAGCCGAACAATTCTGAAACTGCATTAACAACCCAAAAAAAGAGAAAAGGGAAAAGATTAGAAAAGGCATTACCCAGTATATTTTCTCGCAACCTAACAATAATGATAAGCAGCAAAAAAATAAAATAAAAAATAAAAAATATTGAATTGACTAACATTCTCTCTTAGATATTATTCATTACCTTGTCAACAAATGGGGAATTTGCAGCAGCCTCTTTGAAATCCTCATACATTGTTGAAAACATCTCCTTGGAACTACTAACGGCAAGTACTCTGAAACCCTGATTTCTGTAATTCATTTAGACAGGAAGCTAATGGTTAAGTATCATTAATTTTTCAGAACTTAATGAATATGAAGACTAAAGTACTACTGAATCTGGTAAGTCTAGTGTTTGGTACCATAAAAGCTTGATTAAAAAAATAATAACTAATTACCATAAAAGCTTCTGAAATCTTTTTGGTGGGGTTTAACTAATTACCACTTTGGGAAATCAATATGATCCGACTGGCGGCGACTTTGAGATCAAGATTCAACTAAGAATGAAGATATCAAGGAAGCAGCCCTTTAGCGCATACAGGAGGCCATGTTTTATGATTCTGCATTCCAAAACCAGCAAGAATTTATTAACGTCATTAGTCAGGAAATTCAAGAATAACAATATCTAGAAGTACTGAGACAAGTATTATATTGCCCCTTTTCTGAAGAGAGAGTAGGCATACGTACTATCAAAATATGGAATGGAACTCAAACTTCACCCCCAACACTTAATATATATATGCCTCTGTGACCACGTTGCAATGGCATTCACACGTCGTACCTGCATATTAACCAAAAATGATGAATTCTAGTATAGTCTGCCTGTGTTTTTAAAAGATGATAGAAGAATCACATACCTCATTGTAGAATTAAATGGGAAACTTCAGATCATTCTAGGTACGTGTGAGCTCAAAAGGCACATGAATCATGCTCTAGTTCCCTTGCAGCATGCGAGCTGCCAAAAGATTTGAGTGTTATGCTGACAGAATAAAAGCCAAAGCTAATGTAGCCTACAATATGTAGCTCGGGAAGTAAAATGAACAACCATTGTGCTAACTTAATATAACAAGATTTCCAAAATGTGGAATAGCAATCAAATAAATAGAAGTAATTAAAAAATCATCCAAACTAGAATTTAAGCTTGTAACTGAGTGGCTAATGCAAAACTGAGGAAAAAGTTCATAAACCACGCCATCAATTTCACAAGGACAATGAAGTAGGTCTCAACAATGTTATACTGATTCTTTATATTACGGAATTGATATGTTTGTGATCAACTATCCTTACTAAAAATATGACTTAACAAAGACCACTAAAGTCTCTCCAAGCCTTAGCCCAAGCTGTATAGGAACAACCATCTCGTCATTCTGCATCAATTTTCCAACATCATAGTCCACTCATGTCCATATGTCCTGTACAAAAGTATCCATAATGTCATGTCAAGAATTTCAAAAAATAAAAGTAAAAAGATAATAATAAGTAAAAGTACTGAGATAATAATTATATATATATATATAGATAGATATATATATTCTTTTTTGGAGAGCGGGGAATTACGAATAAGAACTGAACTAAAACCGCCCACCCCACCCCTACAATGCATTTGTCACCATGCCGCAATGTGAAGTTGAATAAAAAAGGTCAGCTCTGCTATGCAAGGTTTTAGGAGGCAAAGACTAGAGACAGACATAACATCTGGCATATCTCATGCTTGTCAGGCCGAACTTTTAGCATTGAACCAAACAATGATCCCAAAGATATACTGAAACCAATATAGGCTAGTTCAGCACATTGTAGTTGAATATTCACCAAAACTGATTTAAATAGAATTCCGCATATGTTCCAAAGAGATGCTACTCAATTTTGCATACCTTACCATGGTTTTGAATGAGTTCAAAAGTTCAGACCATGCCCAAGTCCATACGAGCTCCACAGGCATATGAATCTTGTTTTGCCTCTCTTACAGCATGCATATATCATATACTGCAACTAATGGAACATTAAGGATTTGCTTGCTTCATTAATCCAAACAGAATGAATATGTGTCCCATAGCTTAGGAAGCCTACTGTGCAACTGTTACGAGGGGAAACTTGTCCCACATCGGATCCAGATAGGAAGTGACATGGGTATAAATGGGTGGGTATGTAGCACTACCCAACAGTTCGAGCTTTTGGGTAAATTGGCAAGCGCCCACCCGTTACAGTTGGTATCAGAGCCAGACCCAATCCTTGATCCAGTGCCACGCCAAGCGCTCGGCCCGGAAGGCGTCCGGATGATTAAAAACTTTATGAAATCATCATATTTTGTTGAAATCGACATTAATAAAGATTGAATCTGCCAAATGTGAAGTGGCATACCTGACAGAGAATTGAAGTTTCTCTGCAGCCATCAATGTCGAGAAAGTTGAGATTTCATCTGGGTATGGTCATGCCGTCATTTGGGCATTGACAGTGCAAGGGAAGTGAGGTGGAAAAATAAATAAATATAAGGAAGTAATAATTTTGGTTTTGTGGGATAAGTTGTAAGACCAAGTACCTTAGCATGAGCAAAAGATAGCACATATTGAGAATGTTGACGTCCAAAACAGCAGGGATGTTGCTAGCACCAATTCCTTGCCTATATTTTTGTACGTTGAAGAATCATCATAATTGCCAAGAAAAAAGAAATTTGAAGATAAGAAGAAAAATATGGACAAAACAAAAACAGTTAGCGACTTCCAAAGACATTCATTATTGGACACAACATAACAAAAGGAAGAAGCATTACCGGGAAAGTTCTACTAAATCTGAAATTACCTGAAAATCATGAAAGAAACGGCACTCTAACCGAACACTGTTTAGTACTGCTTCAGACACATATCTATGAAGATCTTCCCTACTGTTGTTTTTCATGCATTCATAGTTATAAATCCACAATCTAAGCACTGAACTCACATAGAAACAGCATCTTCGCCAAACCTGTTCCAATGACACAGGATAGTCCATTTTAGATTTGAAATAAAGGGTGAACAGGTCAAAAGCTCGGAGTATTTTGATCAAATATTGTACTGAAAATGTGACTTACCAAATATCAAATTTTCCCTCTGGTAACAGTTCAAGTTTCAAGAAAAGTGAAGGTTTAACAGCTCTTTGGAGAATCCATTGAAAATCTGAAATCAAAAAGGAAAGATAAGTTAATAAAGTACTTCATTATTTTTGACTTGTTTGGTTGTAATGGAAAACTGTGAGAAAATCAAATATGAAGGAAAAAAAAAAAAAAAAAAAAAAAAAAGGACTTTTATACCTGATTGAACAGCTGAAGTAGCTCTGCAATCATCAATGTAAGCATGAATGATTGTCACTTAAAGTTTATGATGTCTTCACCATCGAGCCCTATGAGGCGGATTCGGGAAATCTTGGGCCAATCTTCCCCTTTCTCCTTTTGGCAACGTGGTTTCAGCAATGGACAATTTTTTATTTTTAGTCCAGAGAGGTTGTTGAGCAGCTGTCCTTCTGGCAGGAGCTGGAGCTTAGGGCATTGAATGATGAATAAAACTTTAAGAGAAGTGAGGTGTGGGAGGCCCTTGTGGTTCAGTGATTTCGGATTTGGAAGGTGTCTGATGTTAAGAAAGGTAAGAGCAGTAGGCAATAGCCACTCCTCTGGAAATGACTCCAACACTTCTTTATATTCACCAGCGATGGTGAATTTGCTAAGAGATGGGAGTGCTTGCAAACCCCACCCCATCCGGCCCTTCATCAGTTTCTCGCAATTATGGATCTCAAGTGTAGTTAAGTTGGAAGGCAAACCTCCATCCGGAAATGATTCAACTTCTGGACACTCTTTTATACGCAATTCTTGGAGAGATGGGAGGAGGGTGTGCATTTGATGCGGCAGCGACTTTAGATTGTTGCAATTACAAACGATCAATTTCGTCAGATTTTGAAGCTCGCCATTTGGTATTGAAGAAAACGTTTCAAAATTTATACACTCCCTAATCTCCAGAGAACGGAGCTTTGGAAAGAAACCTAATGACAGCGATTTGAGAAGATCACAGCTACTACGTATCCTCAAAACTTTAATGGATGTCTCCTCCAATGGGAGGGGAAACTCTAAACTACTGCAGTTGTAGATGTCGAGTATTTTCAATGAAGGAGGAGGTAGAACACCAATGGGAAAAGACAACTGAAGAAGAGATGAACAATCAAATATGCGCAACTCTTCAAGGCCAATATTGTTGATGTGCATTGTATTCATTTTCATTCCCTCTGATGATGATAATGCTATTGTCACGGACTTTAGAGATTCACATCTGTCGATCTTTAGAGTCTTAAGCATGGGCGGCAACCCCATCTCTAGAGCTGGCTCAAGAAAACTGCATTCCTTTATCTCCAAGCTTCTAAGATTTGATAATCCGCACAATTCCAGAGGCAATTCCTTCAAGTTCGGCATCCCTGAAACCTCAAATTTCTGAAGAGAAGACAGGCCTTGCAGCAACAAGGCAACTTGAATAGACAACAGTTGTTGGCATCCAGAAATTTTAAGTTTTCTTAAACAAGGGAGGTGATTGGGTAATTCACCAATCAACTTCGGACAATTCACCAAAGAAAGCTCTAAAAGGCAAGAGAACTCTCCAGCCCCCAATGCATGCCATTCCTCCCACTCAAGCATATCATCAAAGCTTAGTGTCTCCAGAGATTGAAATGGTTTTATCAAACAAGAAGAAGAAGAAGCATCCCCATAGAACTCGCGACCCACCTCCATTATTTCTTTCATCCCTGCAATTCTTAGATGTTTAAGAGAGCGTAGCTGCCCAATTGATGGCAAGAAATAGCAATTTGCACACATTATAAGTTTTAAGGATACGATGTTCTGAAATGAATGAACTCTCTTTAACCAATCAGGGAAGTTTGTGCCCCCATAGTTAATGATGCTGAGATCTTTCACCCTTGCATGAGGTTGTAGCTGGTCAAGTACCTCCTTTTCTTTTTGTGAATCATTAGTATCACCACTCCATTCAAGCTCTAACACTTCAAGGTGCTCCTTTCCCTTCAAATTGGCCTTTGATGCATCTGAACCACTAGTTACATTTTCCAACCCTAAAATGTGGAGTTTACCCCGAAGTTGACAAAGGTTCTTCAACGCACTAATTCTTGACCCACCATCCTTGCCAACTACAAAATTTGTTAAATGTTGGAGATCTTTCAGTCTGCTCATTTGAGTTGGTATTTCAGTCAATCTAGTTTCTCTAATATCGAGATGGCGCAAGTTTGTTAGTTTTTCCATATTCACAGGCAACTCAGTGAGATCCTTGCAATATGACAAATCTAATGTCTGTAGATTACACAAAGTTGTTACCGACTTTGGTAACTGTTTGATTTTTGTATAAGAGAGATCCAAATAGCGTAAATGAATCAAGTTTTTGATCGACTGAGGCAATTCAGAAATCTGATATCGAGACAAAGACAGCACCCTTAAGCATCTCAGGCTTGGCAACATATCATTAAGTACCTTATTGCCTAGAAAGGAAGGAGACAATTCAGTTCTTGAACATGGTATGAACGACCGTAAATACTCAACCTTATTAACGCGACCGTAAATACTCAACCTTATTAACGGCCTTGAACTTTTTAAACTGATCAAAGTAGCCTTGAACATATGACAAATGACGAACTTTTTTAGAAATATTGTGTGCCTTGCCTTTGTCTAGCATTACAAAATAGGTGTCACTTAATCTCTGAAAGAAAGACCTTGAAAGTAGTTCATGAAAGTAATGATTCCCTACATCTTCCAATAACATATTATTTTCATGTTGCACAAGATTTTCAGCTATCCAAAACTTAACTAACTTTTCCTTCTTAAATTTGTAATCTTTATGAAATATCGAACAATATGCAAAGTATCGCTTTAATTGCGAAGGAAGATAATGATAGCTCAATATTAGAGCTGGAAGAATGTTGCTTTCCTTCAAAGCCCACAACTCACTGTTTAGTACATACTTCCATTCATCGATATCTATTTTAGATCGTAAGATACCTCCAAGTGATTTTACCGCTAGAGGCAGGCCTTTACACTTCTCCACAATTTTTCTACCAATCCTCTCTAGCTCTGGATGAGACGAATAATCTCCATTCACAAATGCGTGCTTTGCAAACAATGACCAACAATCTTCCGAAGACAATTCCTTCAAGTTACAATAACTAGGAATAGTGCTCATGACAGATGCAACTTTATCCATACGTGTTGTTATAATTATCCTACTTTCCTGTGCTCCAGGGATGAAAGGTTTTTTCAAGAGGTCCCAAGCAATGTAATCGTCATTCCAAACATCATCTAGAACAATAAGAAATTTCTTCCCTGCTAGGCTTTCTTTCAACTTGATTTGAAGTTGATCAAGGTCGTTCTGGTCCTTCTTGACATTTGTTGATGTGGTAACAGCCTCAATAATTTTTTCTGTTATCACAGAAACATCAAATTCATCTGAAACACAAACCCATGCTTTCATATCAAAAAAATTAGTCACTCTAGCATCATTGTAAACAACTTGAGTAAGAGTTGTCTTACCCACCCCACCCATGCCTACAATGGGGATCACAGGGATCTCATTCTCAGTTGCATTTCCAGACAACAACAATTGAATTACCTTCTTTTTGTCCTTATCTCTACCATAGACCTCAGATTCATCTACCAAAGATGTGGTTTGCAGTTTGTTCCACTGTTTCCTTCCAACATTCTCTCTCAAATTAAGACAACCTTTTTGCTCAACAAACGACTCCAACTTACGGATGACCTCTTTCATCCTGGACCCCATCACTTCATCAGATAGATAAGCAGAAGTCGAGACGGAAGGATCAATCCCTAACAGAGATTGCTTGATTGGAAGTAAAAATTGTCTGAAACCAACCTGAGTTTAACAAATTTAAAGTAAGACAAAACTTTCACACAAATTACACCGAAGATTAGGATAAAATAATATAAAATTTAAAGTTATACAAACAATATTTTAGCCCAAATCATTAATGAAAATATAAACATTGCAAATTTACAGCAAAGAACAAGTTTGAACCGCCCATTATATTGTAAATCCTGCAACTGTCAAATTGTTAAACAAATTACCACAGATTACTCCCAATAATAAAACAATTAGAGATATAAAGAAGAAAGCTAAGATTATCTCAAATTTCACAACCAACCAACATAAAAGCAGAAAGAAAAAACGAGAAAAAAATAATAATAATAAATAAATAAAATAATTCAACATTATCATTACAAAATAAGCTAAAAAATTTCCCAAAAGAACATGGATGAAACCAACCTGAGTTGTGCTGCTTTGGGTCTGGGACTGAACATGATCAGCTTCTAACTTGTCCCTCAAGGCTTTGGTAGCGATCTCATCCAGCAAGTCGTCAGCTTGGTAGATAACATGTTGGAGCTCGTCCAGCCAATCTTTCACACGTTTGTTGTTAATCTGCTTGTCCTCCGCATCATCCAGAACTGCTTGAAGGGCCAGCAACGTTATCTTCAGCTTGGCCAGTAGTCCATCATCCATTTTTTGTTTGGAAAAGAAGTTGATGAACTCGCGAGTAGCCAAACGATCAAACATCACCTGAAGGGAAGCCGAGAGAAATGCTCCACCCACCAATGCTTCAGCCATGTCTTTTTTTTTTTTTTTTTTTTTTGTTGGAAAGAGAGAGAGAAGATTAGCAGAGAGATCACAGAGAGACTTGGCAGCGAAGAGCGCTAAGAGGATAAAAGTAAGAAAATTGGGTAAAGTAGAGCTCATTTTGATTACAACAATGTCGACAAACACACACACCAATAATGCAGTCAGTCAATGGCCCCAACACAACGAGAAAAACTTCTGACATATGACAAAAACGAATATGCCAAGAATCAGAAAATATGCACCAACACTGTTGTATATTAAACAACCAAGAATTTTCTAATTTCTCAAATTAGAGCATTTTTTTTTTCTTTTTTTTCTGAAGTATCAACCAGCCATTCATTGAGGCAAACTAAAGCAAATACTACTTCTATGCTATACGAAATAATTCAGCTCCAATTTGCAAAGTATTTCTATAGCATTTTCACATTTCGAACAAAAAAACACACAAATTTACTTGCTAAACAACTTGATTTTTTGGTGTCCTACAAGACAAATATGAACCCAAATGATATAAATCATATAATCACCCAGCTTAATGTAAATAAAGCAAACCAAAGAAGCAAAACATGAGTTCACCAAGATGCAAAATGAGTTGACCTGACTGCAGAGCTGAAGAGACTCAATATGAACCAAAAGAGAGTGCTTAAGGTTTGTTTTATGAGCAATTCGCATTGAGATCTTCAACCACATTCAGATCTTTTATTTTGATCTTCTAGTTATATACCAATAAAATTACCAAAATATATATACCAAGAACTTAATTTCATCATGACAATTTTTGTGCATTGGAGATGCTAATTGCAAAATTTTCTTATTGTCAGTTCAGTCCTACTTTTCCAAGTTTTATTTACATAACAAAATCTTATTATTATTATTATTATTATTATTTCCGATCCACTCAAATAACAGTGAATGCATGCCAATATATATATATATATATATAATCTTCAATTTTCTAGTTAAGAAGCTATACAAGATAGTGAAATGAAAGAATAGTCATCCACACAGCTAGCTAGCATTGACCCAGTCCAATCTGGCAACTTCCAAGAACCACCTCAGGAATTATCATTATCAAAGGAGTAGGTTTTGAAATGGACCTTGTGACGGAACCCAACGTGAAAAGACGTTGGGATAATTAAAAGCAATGATACATCCTCTGTAATTGGACAATTTATCATTTTTTAATAATTAATGGTACCACACGCCAACAATGGAGACCATGGATTCAACCCACTCTGTTTGTATTCAGGTTCGGGACCCTCTCGATACAAGATACACGCCTCAAACAATCGAACTGTCATATTTTCAGCTAGAATTGGCCTTCAGGCATATGTTATATTACATGATTTAAAATTGGAAAATGATATCTTGCGTTCTTACTCCTTACAATGGTTTTCTATTTCTAAATTTTGAGCAACTCATTCACAGAGGCAATTCAAATAAACACAATGTTTATCCTAAACAAAATAATTTACTTTCAGTTAGTGACACCTTCGTTTTTTTTTTTATCAAACATAAATTTTTAAATGCTTTCTATGGTCTAGTCCTGGTTTGAAAAATTCAAGTGCAAAGATAGCTTGAGAGTTCATTTGTAAATAAAGAAGAAGATGGTTTAGGGCTCCCAAACCATGACACCTTCAACAGAGGAAGCATTTTAGGGCATACATGGTCAATTCTATCAAACAACCCTTATAATTAATTCAACCTTTAAATTAATTTTTTTTCAATTTCAAATAGAAGGTGGACAATTTGGTGTTCCCAAAAATGTATTTAGATGGAACGGGTGAAAAAACATTCTTTATTATATAACTAATAAGTCACATCAGTTTTTGTAAAAGAATCACGCTCTCGTGTTTCAGGTACTCTTATTTCCCATAGTGTCACTTGAATTTTGCCGCTTTCCGTTCTAACTCTGGCTTCCGACTGGATCAAACCTCTAACCAAGCACAAGGTTGGTGATGGCACCAACACATTCATCGTTGATGATTGCACATTAATTTGCTCCATCTCTCTGTTTCTGCGCAACCTCAGTCTCGGGTGTTGGAGTTTTGAACTTTAATTTTGATAACTGCCTTTGGGCTTGGGACTCTTTTTGGAGCTCTCTATGTTGGGCTATTACTTTAATTTTGAAATTTTCTTTGGGCTTGGGCCTCATTGAATCACTGGAAATTTGGACAGTTTTTTAATAATGGGTTCAAGTTTCCAAGATCAATTTGGTTTTATGGAAACTAATTGTGAAAAGAGAAAAGTAAAAGAAGGTGAAGTGAACTTTTGGGAAAAAATAATAATAATAATAATAATTAAAATTTCAGTTAAAAATAAAAGAAACCTTCTAAGAAAGTTGTGGTAAAATGTCATTTCATGACTTACCTAACTTTAAGGTTACAAGGTTATATTAATAGGATAATAGGTCTAATATTAATTTGTTTTGAATATTTTTATTTTTATTTTTTAAATAAAAGTAATATAAGAAAATAAATAATGGATGTATAAATTAAATACCCGTGGATAAGGAAAGATTGTTAAATTAACACGCTATCTCATAAGATTGAGATAGGCTCTGCAGATTACGATAATGATTACAGATTACTATAAGGATTAAACCTACAGATTACGATAAAGGTTAAATTTACAGATTACGATAAGGATTAAATCTACATTGTAACGACCCTAAACTGATACCTTTTTTTAAAAAAAAATTGGCATGACCTCCCTTAAAAAGGGGACTACAACCACCTGCTCAAATAAAAAAAAAATAAAAAAAATAAAAAATAAAAAGGCAATGACCCTTCCTGACCTTTCAAAACACCTCCAACCTGACCCAACACATAATATAATTAATATACTCCAACATCCCACCCATCCGTTCATTACACCTCAACATGGCTCATCTCATAGTGGAACATCTACATACCGTTTAATCCAAATTATCATAATTATAGTCCTAAAATATAGTTACAATAACAAGAGTTCACAAATCTCTATACCAAATATAACAAACAAGATTTTACAAAAATATGAGACTTAATACAAAAATAGCAAAAAGAAGTCCTCTAATCCAAATTAGGCCTGTGGTGGAAAGTCATCCGCCACTTCTTTCCCGTTTCCTGAAAAAAAAATTATTAAATAATAGGGTGAGCATAAAGCTTAGTAGGTTTAAGACACGCTCCTTGTGTCCCCGTGAATCCAAACATAGAATAGAGCAATGAGAATGGGGATCAGGCCATGTAGGGAAACCACAATATAATAGTCAATCTCCACATAAGTAACATAATATGGGAATGCAATGCATGCTGATGTCGCTCCCCGTTTTCAAAATCAAAACCATCACTTGTAAACTGTTAATATAAACCGCCCTTTAGTGACCCCGCAGTGACACGAGAGAAGGATTGGCTAGTGTCCCTGACTCTTAGTACCCCCGCGGCGTCATAATGGGGCCCAGCTAGCTCCACCACGTTAGGGCAATCTCCTTAGTTCCCTCTAGACTATATTAACCTTCCAGCCCTTTGGTACCCCCGCGGCAACCAGGTTTTAAAAAACCGATTCATTAAAATACTTTCCCAAAATTCTCTTTTTCTTTTCAAAACGATTTCTTCCCTTTCATGCCCAATGCCAGTGCATGAATGCATCAATGCTATATCCATGCTCATAATCCCACGACTAGTTCAAATTTAACTAATAAGGCATGGTTCACAAAAATTCCCAAAGGATTTACCACATAACGGCATATAACAAGATTTTAGTATTTTTGGCATATGAAAATCAACACATAAACATACTCTTTACATAAAGCATTTAATCCACATAGTTCCATGGTTATCATATAAGCAAGCTTTTCATACAACATATTTAACACATATTCTCACATGTTCATATATCTCAATCAAGTTAATTTAAACTATAATTAACATAATTAAGCATTCTAAGACACAAATCAAGTAGATGAACTCACTAAAGCACAAGATTTCATGGATTAAGGGCCCCTACCTCAAGATTGGACAAAACCCTTTAAATGGGTTCCAAATTTCGAAATCCAAGGAGGGCACCAAAGCTCAAATTTCTGGTACTAGTGCGTAGAGCTCATCGTGTTCTTCGTTTTGCCTCAAACGGCACTTAAATCCGGCAAGAATTGAGAGAGAAATCTTGTCTCAAAGATTGAAAATCAAAAGAAAGAAAAAAGAAAACTCTAGAAGGGGAGAGAGAGGTTCCAGCGGGAGTGAAAAGAGAAGGAAGAAAATGAGGCTTAAAACATGCATGTGGGTCCCACCATTTTTTGAATTTCTTTTCCCTTTTTCTTTTACTCCAATTTCTACACCACACATATATAATGCAACACATAAAATACCACTTAATCCATATAAATTAAAATGCACAAAATACAATGGACCAAACTAAAAACCCGTACACAAGACGTGAAAAGACCGAAATACCCTTGCATCAACGAATTACCGAAAAAATGGAAAATGTAGAAAATTGGAAACGTCACATACATATTACAATAAGGATTAAGCCTACAGATTATGATAAGGATGAAGACAACAGTAACTCTACGTGACATCCTAACCTAAGCCCTATAAATAAAGGGGCTAATCGACGTTTGGAGGTACGCAATAAATCCTATATTTAATCATTTATTGGATATTCAATCGTCAAGTACTAACTTGACCGTCGGAGTGCACCCGGTCAACACCACACCGGTTATCACTTTTCTCTTGTCTTGCAAGAAACACCCCCGGCTCCGGACCGTACAGATTTCTGCATCAACAGTTGGCGCCGTCTGTGGGAAACGATTTTAGTTCTCTAAACAAAGCATGGTTCGATTGTGATTTGGTCTGGCTGCTGACGAGGATGAAGCATTGCAGGCTTCTGATCAAAGGGACTCGATGAGGCAACCCCCCATCGCCCTAAACGATTAGGAACGCGTCACAGCGTTGGAACAACAGGTTCATACCTTACATGAGGGAATGAACCAATTACGTAATACCCCTAATTTAAAAAAGGATAGTCTCGGTATTATTTTAATAGTTTTAATTGCATTTAATTATTTAGTTATTTTTTTAGCTAATTATTTACTTGTTTAATTGATTTACTTATTTGTTTAAATTGAATTGTATGTGATGATGTGTATTTATTTAGGAATTTAATTATTTTATTTTTATTTTTATTTTATTTATTTTATTTTTATATTTTTAAGGAATTGGATATGGATAGTAGTAATTGACCAATCAATTGGGCTCCATGGACTACTTGGATAAGGGGTTTAATAGGTACGGATAATTACCCATGTATATGTAATCTGATGTATATTTACATATTATATATAAAAAGGAGTACATATAGATTATACGTAACATATATTTAAGTTACCTTTTTAGTATTTTTATTTTATTTTATTTTATTTTTATTTTATTTTAGTTTGTCTTGGAATGGAAAAAAGATTAGGGTTATTTTAGTTGCCTATAAATATATAACTATAGAGTTATGAAAGAGGTTAGAAAATATATCACGTACTATATTTTAGAGAGAGAAAGAAAGAAGATGAAGGAAGAGGAAAATGAAGAAGGAGGCTAGGATTTTTTATCAAATCCCTAAAGGCAAGTTTTAATTCTTCTCTTCTCCTTTAATTCGTACCCTATGCATGCTAGATTAATTCTAGGTTCTTAAATAAATTAATTGAATCAAAATTCATGGATTAATTTAAAATTTTAAATTCATGTTTTAATAGTGGAATTTAATTCTTTTCTTCCGCCGAACTTAGCACTGTTGGTGGCTGTGATTTTAATTTAATTTATCTATTTTATTTTATTTTCACGTGAATTAATTGGAGATTGCAACAGTTTGTAC